ATTTTAATAAATTTTTAACGAATTCGTTATACTCTATATATCAACTTACCAGGTTTGAATATATTAACAAGAAAAAATAAAAACTTTGAATATTTTTTAAAAACGGAAATTCATTGTATGACATTAAAAAAAAAACATTTTCTTTTTACTTTTCGTGGTTGTCACAGTAATATTTTGTAAAGCACTATTTAATTTAAATATTTTAAGTTGCGTTTTTGCTTTTTGTGCTAACGCATGAAAAATACGATATACTAATGAAAAAGGGAGGAGGACGGGTAATAAAAGGGAGGGAAGGATTTATTTCATTAATCTAAATTCAATTCATTAATTCAAAAATAATTAATACTTATATAAGCAAATCTGCTTTACATTTTATTATTTTGGTAAAAGCTTTTAAAATTTGTATTACTTTAAGCTAAAATAACTTTTTTCACCTGCCAATTAAACATTAGGAAAAACATTAGGAAAAGCGAAGAGGTGGTGAGATCTTAATCAAAGTGTAAAATTAAAAAATAAAAAAACATTGATATCCGAAAAACACCGGGAGAAATTTCACACAAATGCCAAGATTTCTAAAACAATTAATTTTTACTGGTTACTAAAAAATATTGAAATGAAAAAAATAATATAAAGAATAAATATAGAAATAATTGATGTTAATTCGTGTTAAGGCTCAGGGTCAGCATATAATATGATGAATTCGGTTCCAGGAAAAAATCCTCCCGGAAAATATCCCCCCGAAAAAAATAAAATTTAAAAAAGTATGTCGCTTTGAAATTGATAGGTTGACTGCCAAACCAAAATCCTCATTCAATGTAGCGGCACTCTTTGTATGTACTATCTACTTGTAAGGCAATGTTTGTACACTCCTTGCATGTTCTACCTATTTATCAGTCGATTTATGAAAAACGGAGGATTAAGGTTCTGCTTTTATTATAACACGTAAGTATAAAATATTTATATTATAAACAACAATTATATTGATGTATCATTTATTTAATGCGCTGTAAAAAAAAATCAAGGAGGAATTTTTCCGAGGGCATTTTTTCGATGGGATTTTTTCCCATCGAATTGATTACATAACTCAGTTTTTAATTTATTATTTTATTGATAAAAATTGAGTTATCGATATAATGTTATTTGGTTATACTAATCAGTGTTATATTAATGTTTTTAAAAACTTTTATACAATATTTTATTGCTTTTACAGGTGGAATAAAGGATAAATGAAAAAAAAATCACCATCCCCAAGTGTCTATTTAAAATCTGGAATTGATATGATGTTCATTAGATTTTGTTGATTCAATTTTCTTAAGTAAGCAATCTGAAAAAAAAGTGATTTTTTCTTCAAAAGTTAAGAACTTTAATGAGGAGTAGAAACTAACAAGTAAGAAATAGTAAGCCAAAATAAATTTTAATATGAAAAACTATATAAATTTAATTAAAAATATATGTTCGTGGAAAAAGATCCAACTTCAATCCAGACAATTTTTAAACAAGCAACATTTTATTACAAAAACTATTAATAGGCTGGATATCATTATTATTAACAGAGAAATAAGATTTTTTGTTTTAATAACAATTAGATAGTTTCAATAACAGTGAAACAATTAAAATGATTTATTACTATAATCTAAAAGCATTTTTTTAATCAAAATTACTATTCAAATAATGTATCAAAGCAGCACACTAGCTTTGGCGCAACATTAGAATAATGGTTATTGATAGGTTTAATGATTCCAAGGTTGTTTTAATGTTGGTTGATTGGTCCAATGATTCCAATTTAAAAATTCCAATGTTAAAAGTAATGACAAAGTGTCGGATTTTCTAGCTGACCATCTAAATCAAATTATGGAACAGTGATAGATACAATATCAATGCCTTTTAAGTTTTAGATTACTGGAAAAGTAATAACACTACGTATTTTATATATTCTTCTTTTAGTTAAATGAAAGTTTACGTTAACCCTTATATTGTTGTCAAAACAATTTTGTTTACTGATTTTTTTCATTTGGGGACACTTTTTGCTGTATATTATTCAGTTCAACAAACAATTTTTCAAAAACAGTTTCTTTTAAATAAAATGTGTCGAAGGTCAGCCGAACTACTCTAAATACTATAAACCACCTGATTTACAGGGTTATTCATTATTACATGCGCGTCTTTTTATTTTTTTACGATAAAGTAAAAACTATTCTTTAAAAGTAAAATTGGCTACATAAAATCTGATTCCTTTTTATTCATACTAGAAAACCATTTGTAGAAAAAATTGAGAAAGAATCTCTAAATTTTTTTTTTTTTAAGTTAACACAATTACAACAACCAAAAATTTCCTTATAAAAATAATTGCAAGCAAGATATAAAAGATAAAAAGGTTTCTTTGAGAAAAAAAAAATTATTTTAATGTATTTTAATTAAACTTGTTTTTATTCAAATTGAACTTGCTTATAACCACTTAATTGCATAAGTTACTAAAAACTGCAAAATATTAACTAAATGGCTACGCAATATAAAAAAACTTTCACTGAACTTCAATTAAGTTCACTTTTATTTTACAACTGGAACATATCTATTCATCATTCAACATTGAACATTCATCATTCAAAAACTGGAACTTATCTATTCATCATTCAGCATATAAACAAATAATATAACTGTAATAAAAATTTATATACCACTAAAAATAAATAATAACTAAAAAACAAACAAATGACTAACAAAAAATAATAAGTAAAACTATATACCGTATTTAGTTTTACTTATTATTTTTAACGTATATTATACATTAAAAAATTGAAGCAAAATAAATAAATAATAAAATAAATAATCCTAAGAAATATATGAAAGAAAACTAAAAAAATATATGAAAAAATCATTATCCTGAATCGCAGGATTAGGATAATGAATCATCTTCTTTATTTGAGGAAAATGATTAAAAGTTTTAAGGTAAGATCTCTCTGAAATAGAGCAATTTTTTTTTTGAAAACTAAATATAATCTGAGGAGATGTTTATTACTTATCAATACACTAATTATGTTTACACATTCATTTCTTCCCTCAGGCGTTCACTGCTCGTGTGTGACCATTCGGCGAATTTTATATGCCAAAGTTTTTAAATAATTTTTTTTTTGAAAACTAAATATAATCTGAGCAAGATCAGATATATTTTTTTTCTTTTCCGTGAAGCGAAAAGTTCAGATTTTGTAAATGTTGCATTACATCAGTCAAAAACATAAGATCTTGCAAAAAAATTCATATCATCAATCATTTCAAATGTCTTTGGCTTTTCAAGCAAAAAAAATTTAATTAGTTCTAATATTTCTACAAACCTATAAACGTGAATACTTGAAAGCCACCTTACACCACAGTAAAACGACAAGTCACTTGGTTTGTCATCAAGATCTAATTCACTAATGAAATTTTTAGGCTGTCGGTGATTTTTTGCATTAGATCGAATATAACTTACAATCTCCAGTACTGATTTAAAAACAATTGGAAAATTAAAGTGTTTTTCTGCTAAATGTTCTCGATGAATTACACAATAAACTGGGATAAACTCTGGATACGTAGGATCACTATTTAGTAAACGAATAAACCCAATGTATTTTCCTACCATTGCTGTTGCACTATCTGTAGCAATACTAACAAGCTTGTTCTTAGGAGCATTAGCTTTCACCAGTTTGTTTCATAGTGACGTTTAACATTACATGTCTTATTATGAGCAGGTTCAGTATTGCAAATTAAACATATAGGTTTATTTTCTTTTTCAATAAATGCGTCTTTTTCTGTCCAATCGCCGTGAAATAATCTGTTCTTATCTTCAATTTTTTTTTCTTACTTTTATTGTGAAGAGCATTATTGCCACATTTTGCTATATCCATTTTTCAAACAGTATGTCTTCCGGCTATATTTTATTATATGTTTTTATTATAAGCCAATCAATAAAACTTTTGAAAAGAGCCACAAGCAAAACCTGTCTTTTAAAAAAATAACTGATGCGAAATGTTTCTTGTGTATTTATTATATGATTATCCGATATTTCATAAATGAGTTGTTCCATTTTACTTTCAGCATGTTCCTTCAAAGCTGAATAAATTTCTGCAAACCAACAATAAACTCAGTGGTTCTCAATCTTCTGATCAGAGGCTCGGTGGCCTTTTGGACATTGTCTATCCTATCTACCCTATCGCAACACCTTTGATGCTATTCCAGATTTTTCTCAAAAGAAACAGGCTGCTGTAGTTATTCACCTTAAAGGGTAGTAAAAATAAAATAAAAGTTGATGCTCGAATACTCAAAGCTTAATTATTTAAAGTTGAATTTTCAAACATGCATAGGTATTATTACAATAGTGCCAACATGGTTAAGAAATATAGTGGCATGAATGCAGGATTGAGAGAAACAAATCGTAACTGTAATTTTTCTAGCTGTGTAAATCGTGCTGTAAATCTTGTGAAAGTCGATTGCGCTCAATCGACAATGAAGCAATTTCGTAGTTTGGAAAAACTCAACAAATGTATAATTTGTTGAAATTATACATTTGAAATTATACATGTTGAATTTATACATGTTGAAAAATTCAAAAAATGTATAACAAAGGTAGTATATTTTAAAATGTTTTCTGGCCTTATTAAATGGAACCAAATAATGTGATTAGTTTAAGTTAACGTGTTATGTTAAGCTAGTTGTACAACTTTTAAAATCATGGTAGAATGTTGTTTAATGAAGTGACTCCAGCTCTGTTTGAGCTCAGTCACTTTATTTATCAACAAAAGCTAAAATAGAACTCTATGCTATTCAAAATTATTTTTCAAAATTCAAATTTGTTGTGATGTTCCTTTTTCCAATACTTCTAAAGCCACCAAACCTGATACACAAAACAAGTATATCATAGATTTTAACCATTGCAGGAAAGTTGTAGAAAATATAGATAAAAAAGTTTTTTAGAGTTCTTTGAGGGTTTAAAAACTAAGTGACGAAAAACTAGTTTTGGCTGCTAACAACTTTCAACAGCACTACCACTCGCACCAAATTTTTCAACAGCACTTCCAATCGCACCAAATCTTTCTACAACAATACCAATCGCACCAAATCTTTTAACAGCACTTCCAACCGCACCAAATCTTTCAACAGCACTTCCAATCGCACCAAATCTTTCAACAGCACTTCCTATCGCACCAAATCTTTCAACAGCACTTCCAATCGCACCAAATCTTTCAACAGTACTTCCAATCGCACCAAATCTTTCAACAGCACTTCCAATCGCACCAAATCTTTCAACAGCACTACTAATCGCACCAAATCTTTCAACAGCACTACCAATCGCACCAAATCTTTCAACAGCACTACCAATCGCACCAAATCTTTCAACAGCACTACCAATCGCACCAAATCTTTCAACAACACTACCAATCGCACCAAATCTTTCAACAGCACTTTCAATCGCACCAAATCTTTCAACAGCACTACCAATCGCACCAAATCTTTCAACAGCACTACCAATCGCACCAAATCTTTCAACAACACTACCAATCGCACCAAATCTTTCAACAGCACTTTCAATCGCACCAAATCTTTCAACAGCACTACCAATCGCACCAAATCTTTCAACAGCACTTCCAATCGCACCAAATCTTTCAACAGCACTTTCAATCGCACCAAATCTTTCAACAGCACTACCAATTGCACCAAATCTTTCAACAGCACTTCCAATCGCACCAAATCTTTCAACAGCACTTCCAATCGCACCAAATCTTTCAACAGCACTACCAATCGCACCAAATCTTTCAACAGCACTACCAATTGCACCAAATCTTTCAACAGCACTACCAATCGCACCAAATCTTTCAACAGCACTACCAATCGCACCAAATCTTTCAACAACACTACCAATCGCACCAAATCTTTCAACAGCACTTTCAATCGCACCAAATCTTTCAACAGCACTACCAATCGCACCAAATCTTTCAACAGCACTTCCAATCGCCCCAAATCTTTCAACAGCACTACCAATCGCACCAAATCTTTCAACAGCACTTCCAATCGCATCAAATCTTTCAACAGCACTTCCTATCGCACCAAATCTTTCAACAGCACTACCAATCGCACCAAATCTTTCAACAGCACTTCCAATCGCACCAAATCTTTCGACAGCACTACCAATCGTTTCAAATCTTTCAACAGCACTAACAATCGTATCAAATTTTTCAACAGCACTTCCGATCGCATCAAATCTTTCAACAGCACTACCAATCGCACCAAATCTTTCAACAGCACTACCAATCGCATCAAATCTTTCAACAGCACTACCAATCGTATCAAATCTTTCAACAGCACTTCCAATCGCACCAAATCTTTCAACAGCACTACCAATCGCACCAAATCTTTCAACAGCACTACCAATCGCACCAAATCTTTCAACAGCACTACCAATCGCACCAAATTTTTCAACAGCACTTCCAATCGCACCAAATCTTTCTACAGCACTACCAATCGCACCAAATCTTTCAACAGCACTACCAATCGCACCAAATCTTTCAACAGCAATTCCAATCGCACCAAATCTTTCAACAGCACTACCAATCGTTTCAAATCTTTCAACAGCACTAACAATCGTATCAAATCTTTCAACAGCACTTCCGATCGCATCAAATCTTTCAACAGCACTACCAATCGCACCAAATCTTTCAACAGCACTACCAATCGTATCAAATCTTTCAACAGCACTTCCAATCGCACCAAATCTTTCAACAGCACTTCCAATCGCACCAAATTTTTCAACAGCACTTCCAATCGCACCAAATCTTTCAACAGCACTTCCAATCGCACCAAATTTTTCAACAGCACTTCCAATCGCACCAAATCTTTCTACAACAATACCAATCGCACCAAATCTTTCAACACCACTTTCAATCGCACCAAATCTTTCAACAGCACTTCCAATCGCACCAAATCTTTCAACAGCACTTCCAATCGCACCAAATCCTTCAACAGCACTACCAATCGCACCAAATCTTTCAACAGCACTACCAATCGCACCAAATCTTTCAACAGCACTACCAATCGCACCAAATCTTTCAACAGCACTTCCAATCGCATCAAATCTTTCAACAGCACTACCAATCGTTTCAAATCTTTCAACAGCACTAACAATTGTATCAAATCTTTCAACAGCACTTCCGATCGCATCAAATCTTTCAACAGCACTACCAATCGCACCAAATCTTTCAACAGCACTACCAATCGTATCAAATCTTTCAACAGCACTTCCAATCGCACCAAATCTTTCAACAGCACTTCCAATCGCACCAAATTTTTCAACAGCACTTCCAATCGCACCAAATCTTTCAACAGCACTTCCAATCGCACCAAATCTTTCAACAGCACTTCCAATCGCACCAAATTTTTCAACAGCACTTCCAATCGCACCAAATCTTTCTACAACAATACCAATCCACCAAATTTTTCAACACCACTTCCAATCGCACCAAATCTTTCAACAGCACTACCAATCGCACCAAATCTTTCAACAGCACTTCCAATCGCACCAAATTTTTTAAAAGCACTTTAAATCGCACCAAATCTTTCAACAGCACTTCCAATCGCACCAAATCTTTCAACAGCACTACCAATCGTTTCAAATCTTTCAACAGCACTACCAATCGCACCAAATCTTTCAACAGCACTTCCAATCGCACCAAATCTTTCAACAGCACTTCCAATCGCACCAAATCTTTCAACAGCACTTCCAATCGCACCAAATCTTTCAACAGCACTTCCAATCGCACCAAATCTTTCAACAGCACTTCCAATCGCACCAAATCTTTCAACAGCACTTCCAATCGCACCAAATCTTTCAACAGCACTTCCAATCGCACCAAATCTTTCAACAGCACTTCCAATCGCACCAAATCTTTCAACAGCACTTCCAATCGCACCAAATCTTTCAACAGCACTACCAATCGCACCAAATCTTTCAACAACACTACCAATCGCACCAAATCTTTAAACAGCACTTCCAATAGCACCAAATCTTTCAACAGCACTACCAATCGCACCAAATCTTTCAACAGCACTTCCAATCGCACCAAATCTTTTAACAGCACTACCAATCGCATCAAATCTTTCAACAGCACTTCCAATCGCACCAAATCTTTCAACAGCACCACCAATCGCACCAAATCTTTCAACAGCACTTCCAATCGCACCAAATCTTTCAACAGCACTACCAATCGCACCAAATCTTTCAACAGCACTTCCAATCGCACCAAATCTTTCAACAGCACTACCAATCGCATCAAATCTTTCAACAGCACTACCAATCGTATCAAATCTTTCAACAGCACTTCCAATCGCATCAAATCTTTCAACAGCACTACCAATCGCACTAAATCTTTTAAAAGCACTACCAATCGCATCAAATCTTTCAACAGCACTACCAATCGTATCAAATCTTTCAACAGCACTTCCAATCGCACCAAATCTTTCAACAGCACTACCAATCGCACCAAATCTTTCAACAGCATTTCCAATCGCACCAAATCTTTCAACAGCACTTCCAATCGCACCAAATCTTTCAACAGCACTACCAATCGCATCAAATCTTTCAACAGCACTACCAATCGTATCAAATCTTTCAACAGCACTTCCAATCGCATCAAATCTTTCAACAGCACTACCAATCGCACTAAATCTTTTAACAGCACTACCAATCGCATCAAATCTTTCAACAGCACTACCAATCGTATCAAATCTTTCAACAGCACTTCCAATCGCACCAAATCTTTCAACAGCACTTCCAATCGCACCAAATCTTTTAACAGCACTTCCAATCGCACCAAATCTTTCAACAGCACTTCCAATCGCACCAAATCTTTCAACAGCACTTCCAATCGCACCAAATCTTTCAACAGCACTTCCAATTGCACCAAATCTTTCAACAGCACTTCCAATCGCACCAAATTTTTCAACAGCACTTCCAATCGCACCAATTCTTTCAACAGCACTACCAATCGCACCAAATCTTTCAACAGCACTTCCAATCGCACCAAATCTTTCAACAGCACTACCAATCGCACCAAATCTTTCAACAGCACTACCAATCGCACCAAATCTTGGCAATAAGTTTTCATTTTAAAAAAAAACTTATGGTGCCAATTTTAAACTCGAATGAATGCCAATAAAATTGCTTAAAAAGTAATTGAATTTGGTCTGTCTGGAGTTTTCCCAAACACTTCAATTGCTTTCCAAAGTTTTGTTTGTTTTTATCAAACTGCTCTGAAAGCATCACGACATAATAAAAAATGATACAAAATAAGGATTTTTACATATATCGCTGTTAATCTTAATATATATTATCACGCATACGTTTAAAATTTTTACAATGGTAAATATTTTAAACGTTTAATCGTAACATTCATTTCCAATTTTAAACATTTCAAAATGTTTTAAGATGTAATCAACACGTTTAAAAATGTAATCAAACACTTAATGCCATCTATATTAAAATGTTTAATTAACTTATCACAAGATTTTTTATTACTCTTTAGAATTTGTTGTGAAATAAACGAAATATACAATTATAAAATATCATCATGTTTTACCAATGGTATTTACATGTCTGTTATAAGCACTGGCATTACCGCAATCCTATTAATTTTCGGTAATGTGGTAAATTTCAACATTTAGATTAGTAATCAAAGGCGCCTAGTTGAGAATGCGATATTTAGCAAGATAAGGATACTATCAATGATCCCAGCGGGCACAGACATCCTTGGGACATCTATGCGGCATCTTATGGACGTCATAAGTCCGGAGGACGTCCTTAAGACGTCCATCGGATGTTTTGTGCTGCTGGGATATATTAATATAGATATAATTGCAATATTTATTTGATAAAAAAGTAAAATAACATAAATATGTTTTTTATTTTGCGAATTATAAAAGCTGCTTTATCTTTCATATTGTATTATAATTTTGTCGTCATAAAAATATATATTTTTATAGTACAGTTGTTATAGTACTGTTGTTAACACAATTTACCTTCTAATAATGTTATATTTAAATTATTTATAAATATAAAGATTAATTCTATTTTAATATAAGAATAACTCTTCCTTTCCTTTGCATTAATCATTTTTCATGAAAAATTCTGATTTTTAAACGTTTTACTGATAATCTGATGATATGAATGCCATTTAGAAATTATGTATAATAAGTCGATACGTTTATCTGAATTTGTTTTTAGGTTATATATTTTATTTATAAACTTTTTTTTCAAGATCCTAAAAAAATAAGTTATTTAGGAAATTTAACTGTAGTGTGTTTTGTTTACAGAGTTTTTGTTTGTGGCGATTAACGAGTAACAATAGAATTTATTTGACAAATGTTAATAAAATTATGGCAATAAATAATATATTCACATGAAAAAAGTGTGGGAAACCTTTAATTAAATGGCTCAACTGGTAAGTTTACACTCAATCCTAAGTTTTTCTAGTTTTTCTGCACTTAAGGTTCAATAAAAACAAAGAAAAAGTTCTCTTTTGCAGAGTTTTAAGATTACGAATTATTAACTTTATTAGGTTTGATAGGATAAAATAGTTTCGGTAAAACAAAAATACAAGACAGAGATAAAAGGAATTATAATTAAATTGTTATATATAATGTCAAATAAAAATTAAAACAAAAATAAACCTTACCATTGCCTACTAACATCAAATTAATCTTAACAAAGATGACTAAATAATTTAAGTTACGTTTGTACAAATTGGAAAATTCCATGTTTGATATATATATATATATATATATATATATATATATATATATATATATATATATATATATATATATATATATATATATATACATATATCTATATATATATATATATATATATATATATATATATATATATATATATATATATATATATATATATATATATATATATATATATATATATATATATATATATATACATATACATATATATATATATATATATATATATATATATATATATATATATATATATATATATATATATATATATATATATATATATATATATATATATTTAAAGGATAACATCTTGTGTGAGAGTATATTTATATATTATTTTAAAACATCAAAAATACGATTTCTCTCAACACTTATAATTTTTTTATTATTATAGAAATTTTCGCTGGATTTTTAGATACCAGCTTCTTCAGCTTGTTAAATGTTACAGTAATTAATAAAATCGTTATAATTTAAATTAAAACGTTGCTATTGACGTCAGCTGTTGAATGGCTTCTTTTTCGCTGAAATTTAAAAAATGGCGTCCAAAACTTAGTTTTTACGTATTGACCCTCATCGAGATTAATCCCGCCATTTTTTGCAGAACACATGTTTTTTTGTATTTCTAGGGCTTCCCTAACTTTTCTTTCAAATTTTTTATTTTCTACTTTTAATGTTTTTGTTTGTTCCCAAATAATTTCTTTTTTGCAAAATGTTTTTTGCAGAGCTAATGCGGATTGATGCTGCTTATTTTCATCAATGCTTTTTTGGTGTTGATGCATTCGTGTGTTTACTTTCATTTTTGTTTCGCCTACATACACTTTTGAACAGTTGCATTTGATTATATATGTTCCCGGTTGACTGTTATTAGGTAGTTTTGATTTATTTTTTGATGTTAACAGGGATCTTAAGTTTGGGTTTGATTTGAATACCGCTCTGTAACCAGCTTTTCGGAATATTTTCCTAAGTTTTGGTGAGAGACCGGGTACCCATGGTAAGGAAACTACAGGATAATTATTGATTTCAGATGGAATTGTAATTTTATTTTGTCTTTTGTGTTGAAACTGATGCGCAATATTCATCATTTGAGTTTTATCGTAACCATTTTCAATAAACACGTCGATTAGTCGATTCTAATCGACGTGTTTATTGAAAATGGTTACGATAAAACTCAAATGATGAATATTGCGCATCAGTTTCAACACAAAAGACAAAATAAAATTACAATTCCATCTGAAATCAATAATTATCCTGTAGTTTCCTTACCATGGGTACCCGGTCTCTCACCAAAACTTAGGAAAATATTCCGAAAAGCTGGTTACAGAGCGGTATTCAAATCAAACCCAAACTTAAGATCCCTGTTAACATCAAAAAATAAATCAAAACTACCTAATAACAGTCAACCGGGAACATATATAATCAAATGCAACTGTTCAAAAGTGTATGTAGGCGAAACAAAAATGAAAGTAAACACACGAATGCATCAACACCAAAAAAGCATTGATGAAAATAAGCAGCATCAATCCGCATTAGCTCTGCAAAAAACATTTTGCAAAAAAGAAATTATTTGGGAACAAACAAAAACATTAAAAGTAGAAAATAAAAAATTTGAAAGAAAAGTTAGGGAAGCCCTAGAAATACAAAAAAACATGTGTTCTGCAAAAAAATGGCGGGATTAATCTCGATGAGGGTCAATACGTAAAAACTAAGTTTTGGACGCCATTTTTTAAATTTCAGCGAAAAAGAAGCCATTCAACAGCTGACGTCAATAGCAACGTTTTAATTTAAATTATAACGATTTTATTAATTACTGTAACATTTAACAAGCTGAAGAAGCTGGTATCTAAAAATCCAGCGAAAATTTCTATAATAATAAAAAAATTATAAGTGTTGAGAGAAATCGTATTTTTGATGTTTTAAAATAATATATAT